TCCGTACTCTAAGAAGTAAGAGAAAAGAGAAAAGCAGTCGAGACACAGTCAGACATCACTCATCGCTTACACACATTTGAATCCTGTATATCTCTCATATCTCTGCAGTGCTTCGAAGTTGATCCATTTGTACTGCTATTTTAAAAATTGTCTTATCAATTATTGTTGTAGTATTCATAAGTACACAGTTGGGTCTCTAGAGTCTCTGATGTGTAGGTAAGCGGAGTGTAAGTGAGGATAGGTAAGATACGTGTGTTTACATGTCAGGAGAATGAGAGGATGAGAACGAATAAATAGCTTCATTTCTCTGATTCTGGTCCATGATAAAACTAGCATCAAACAAGATTTCCAGCCTTCCGACTGTGTCTGTCGGCTCTAGATGCTGTGCTATGCATATGTGAAAGTATCACTGACAAGAGTTCACTTATGACATCTGGTACGCTATCTATCAATAATCCTAGCCATCCGTTCACGCATGATCAAAAAACATGACGAGAAATATAGTAATATGCAGACAAAAAACGAACGAATTCAGCGACCTGCAGCTCTCTCGAGTCGCTTTTGCCTAAACAACCCACATTTCCGTCATACCACTCCACCAAGAGCACATTGTTACCCAAGCAACAAAATGCACACCCAACGATAATATGCCAGGATCACGTAACCGCTGAGGCAAACTCACATGTTGAAAAAAAAGAAAAAAGAGAGCTCAAACTAAACCCTCACCTCCAGATACAGTTCTATGTACCATGCTCTAAGTATCACCTCTCTCAATTCCCATCCACCTCTCTCCCACCCACCGCCAGCACCAGCACCACCGCTCCGGTGATAACAGCGGCGGGGGGGTTAGCAAACGGGGCCATCCGGACCCGCCCTCTCTCGATCCCCCTTCAAAATCGAACCCACACTACCCCAGTACCATGCAAAACCCTCCTCCCCACTTATCCTGCGATAACACTCGCAGCGCGTTGGTCCGGCACGGAACAGACGGAAAAGACTGCCATCGTCGCCACACACATACCCACCCTTGTTATTGCTACAGGGCAGGCAAAAGCCCAACCCGCTCCCGTCCAGTCATGATTGTTGCTACTAGTACACCCACCACACACGCGTGCACATGTGCGCACGCATGCAGTGGTAAAACTTTTATTTACGTATAAGCATGTGTGTATGCAACACCGCGGATTGAGCAAGCATGCTACATGGACTTACTCTACATGTAACAGCGCTCTTCTGTCGAATCCGTTTCGCTTGCACTTACATGACTGACTGCTTGGCTTTTGCTTTGCATTCGCCGTCTATTTGCCGTGCGCAGCGGCGGCGGCCGGCAGCCCCAGGCAAAACCACCGACTCATGCTTTGCTATGCGAAGTAGTGAGTAGCGCTGATCTTCCCGTCTGGGATCATATACGTCCGATTGGATCGGGGATCGGGGGCGGCGGCGGCGGCAGGGAAGGGATGGGGAAGGAAAGGGTAAGTAACTTCATGGGAAGGGGAGGCTACCTCCAGTTTGTCTTTTTTTTCCCTCTTTCCCGTTGTGCTTTTTTGAACTACTAAGGTGGATATGACTAGTCCTTGTCGAGTTACAATAATCTATATATGTATGTATGCATAGTATGTGTGCGATTTCGAACGTCGTCGGAGGTTGCAGGCCCGTTTTGGGGGATCGGCGGAGGAGGGTACGTACATATGAGACGTATATGTAGGGTTGGTTTGTTGGTTGGTACACTGCAGCTGCGTGTTATGTGTGTGGCTTGCATACAGATTTGTTGGTGGGTTGTGTAGGAATACGGGCGGTAGAACAACGGAGGAAAGCGGGGGAGAGAGAAGCGGGAGGGCCATTTGCCATTTCCTTGGTTAAGAAAAAAGAAAAAGGGCCGATGGGGGGACCCGGTTTATCTTGTACTTTGTATACTGTGTACGTAGCTACCTCCGGTTTTTTTGTTGCTATGTATGTATGAAGATCCAGTTTTTTTCAGCTTGTCGCCTCACTTTTTTGGCGGTGTCTTGGAACTTTTTTTGTGTATGCGGGTTTTGCATCATCGTGCAGTGTTATACAGCAATACAGAGTCAGGAAAAAAAGGGTCACCGAGGATAAAAAGCGGGAGATAGTCCATCGTGCGCTTTAATTAATGTTACACTGCGCGATGGTGTGGCTGGCTGGGTGGATTATGCGTCAGGTGCATTGCACTAATCGCGATGGTAACGATTGCCGAAGTCTTCCATTCCCTCCATCTCATCTCATGTCCATCTGCATCTTAACTCCAACTCCGCGGAGTATATGACTCTTTTCCATGTATACAAATGTGTTTTAAGCACCCACACACACACAAAAATTACTCGTAGGCAACAAGTTTTTTGGTTATGCTTGAGGCTGGGCAATATTGAGCGATGATAGTTGCAAGGCAGGCGGAGACTGTGCCCAGCCTATTGGGACCTCCCGTCACCCTCCACTACCGCTATACGTACCCAGCACTAACATCTGTATCCGCAAACCGCTATGGTGATCGGTCGTCAGCCTTGGGGGAATATCCCCTTCTACTTATTGCGGCTCACTAGCATGCATGATATGATCGTCATCAACCCCGGAGAGTGTCTTACCTTGCGCAATACCGAGTTTTTGCAATAACGATATCAATGGCTGTTTTTATTTCGACTTCGGCTGATAGATGATTATGAGCGCAATGTCACAAGGCGGCGGCAATTTCCGATCGAACCACGACGACGACCACTCCTCCATCACACTTTTCTCATCCTCATACTCAGCTATGGTCTGATAATATCAAAGCAAGACAAAGAACAGGGCTGGGCCAGCGGCCCCCTCCCCCGGCCTGTCATTCAGGTTGGCCATCCACCATCATCCCCAAAGCCACGCGTAGCCATGTGAAAGCTGATACAAAAAACCCTGTTTCCCTGTGTCAGCTGCAGGTGCATCACTCGGAGGCGAAACGACAACGCCTCACGTATGACTACCTCTATCCCAGAACATCTGGTTCGCATGGAAAATCAGTCACGTTTTCCCTATTCCCGTAATTCTCACAAATCACACCGGTCTCCTTGACGAATTACTTCAGATGGCTTGCGTCGGCATACTCCTTGGTGTGCCTGCGAGTTTAGCCACACACACACACATACACACATACGTACACAGCAGCTTACATCGGTGTAAGCGAACCCAAACTCCAAAGCAAAACGGTGTAAGGCGCCCAATGACCACGTGCGGGCCGCATGTCTGACGCATGTGACGGGCGTAAAAACCAAGCCCTATCTCTTCTCGTTGCCTCGGATCTCTCAGGCAGAGACAATGCACAATTGATGACGGTCTCATTCCCCAGAGTCTGGGAACGGCATCCCACCATTCTGGTCATGTACCTTGTACGACGGAGAATTCTTTTGTCTTTTCTTTCCATTCCTGCTCTTAATTGCCCATGACAAAGGTGGTCTATGCATAACGGGGCGAAGGAAAAAAAGAATGATCGGTCGACGACATGCAGGCACCGTGCGCTTAGTAAACGGTTATGCGGCGAACCAAAATAAAGGTAAAAAATGGTAACATAATTTTCTGGACAAGGGGTTCGGAGGATCGCCTGAATGCTTTCAAGTGTGCGTGCACGATAATCAGTCTTGTCATTTTGATAATGATAACATGCGTGCCATGGGCGGGTTGAAGTGTCCAGACCCGGGTGAAGGGGAATTGCACGTGCGGCGGGATACTTTATTGAGAAGTATCAACGGGTCTTGCCCGTGTCAGTCCCAAGTTGGCGTGACGAGTGGGTCTGCTGTGAACGGGTCGTGGAGAAGAGAGCCCTTGATTTGCCGACTGCGAATGCGAGGTAACGGATAATGGGGCGATCTGGTCGGCTTGTGGAGGGAGAGATTGAGGCCCCCTTCCGATGGCGACAGATGGCGATTGCTTGCCTTGATGTTGTTATCGCCCTGATGATAGTGTATGTATATACACTGCTCTTCCCGGAATAGGCTCCCGGGCTCGCGGAGATTGAAGACGAGATTGGAAGAGCAACAACGGCTCAGCTTGATGTGCATGCATTGCAACATGTACCAAGCTGCGAAAGGAACAATAAATCAACGGCTGCTCCGGGGTGTTGTGGCAGGCCCTTACTAAGGCTTGCTTTCGGGCGAACGACATCCATGACCCTTGTACCATGTCCCCCGTGAACCGTTGCGCACATGTACCTTATGGCTGCAATGTTGCACATAATACGAAGGATGCTTGTGATCGGGTTCCTGCAAAAAAACTCCATTTTCATACATAGTGCCAGGTACGCACGACAATGGAAAATGGTCGCTTCCTTGACTCAAGTGACATGATGTCCGACAATCGCATGGTATAGAGTATACGACACAAACCCTGCCTGACAAGCGTGGGGGGGGGAAGGGTGAAGAGGCGGGGACGTGGCCAGTCAGATGCAATCTGGGGTCATCAAAGGCCAAAAGGGCCGATTAATGCCTGTATGCTGATTATAATCCTTCGTGTTGCTGGTATTGGGCATGCCGTCATCCTTGCCCGCTAGGAAGGTGAAGCGGCGGTACTCGAGGCGCCTGGGGAGTGGACAAGAGCGCAACCGTAGCAGTAGGCCTCCAGTAAGCGCCTCTCAGGCCGGCCCACACCCAATTACTGTGACTGGACGTCAGACCGAGTGGCGCACTCCCCCCACGCATTGCCGGAGATTGACCCTGGTACCTTGAGCCGATCTGCCTGTCGGCATTCGTGTTCCTCGTCTCGTGGCTCAGGTCTGCGTACCAGTATCAGGCTGGTAATACTGTACGCGAGCGAGACAGGAGCAGATTACTGTTCCAACCTTTGGGTTCTGGAGCGGTCGCTGGGAACGCTCCCGCTCTCTTCGGCCGGTTAAATGCACCAGCGCGCTTTGAGATGTCTGTGGCTGCAGACCTCAAGGTTTACTGACTCGGCCTGATTCCCACTCGTCTCCCCATGCATCCAAATATCGTCGTTCCGACGAAACGCGCGAAGGATGCCCGCCAGAGTGTTGGGTTGCGGGTGCATGCACGGATTGGAGGAAGAAAGAACCATGTTCCCGCTTCAAGGTGGACAGGTCGGGGTGTTGTGGCATGGTTCGGTCGTGAGAGCCTGCAGCCAGCCATGTGTGTGTGTTAGCATGCATCCAAAGCATGCCAACCAGCCAGCCTGACAGCAAGCATGCCAGCCAGCCCAGCGACCAGCTGCGTCTTAGCAATGCGCACTTGTCCCTCACTTCAATCACCGAGGTAGATCAGTCAATCGCTTGCTCTGCTATGGGTTCCCTCCCAAGTCTATGTTACAGATTCTAGCAAGCAAAGAGTGGAGACATCGGATGCGTGTTGCTGTGCCGCGCTGTATGTACCTTGCCCTCCTATGCATACATACGTGTCGTCATCGCAACGAACGAAAAAAACAGAATGCCTGCAAACTACAGTCGGTCCTAATTCAACAAGTGCTGCAATGCCATGTGTACGAGTTTGCCTCGTCGACGCAACGCTTTGGGTGTGTGTGTGAATGTGTATGTGCGTGTTTGAATATGTGTGTAGGTGTGTGCGGGCACGTGTGTGTAAGTGTGTGTATGTATGTGTACGTGCGTGCGTGCGTGTTGGTATGCATCCATGCATCCGACCTTACATGGACGCTGTCCAAAGCAAAGTGTTGTGATGCGCAAGGATCCTGCAGCCAAACGGCAGCCAAGCAAAACAAGCGATGCTCATGGTAGAAAAAGCGAGATAGAAATAAAAAATAGAACACAAATCAGGCGCTGAACCAAAACAAAGCCGTTTTCCCCGTTACCCTAACGCAGTACCGCCGTATGTGTGTGAAAGGGGAGAAAAAAACAGACCCACTCCTAATGCAACCTGGTTGTGAGGCTCGTACATGTAGCCCATCGCTGCCGGTCCGACCCTCGTTAAAGCCGTCGAAGAACCACGCAATCGGTCCACCAAGCAATTCATGACTCCTTTTTGACGCCCTTACAATCCCCGTTTGAATAAGAAACCCTGAGAGCCGAATATGCTGCCGAGGCGTTGCGTCACGGTGCAGCTTTCTCGTGGCCATGAGAGCCGTGCGCCGCAACAGACCCTGTCTTCAGCGTCGGCTACATCATCCTGACCCACACTGTGAAAACAGCGAGAAGGCCTCATCCAGGAGAAGTAGTCGGAAATGACGCGCCAAGCGTATCGCGATTCCCTCAGGCAGTTTGTGGCTGGCTGAAGCATGTGCGAAGTGTCCCAGCGACTCCTATTCCACATCAAGTCGCCAGGAAATCCCATCCACGGGCGTTGATCAGACGCTCCCAGTCCCAGCTCTCTTTCTGTACCTCTGGATCATCAGAGCTCATGAGTTCCCAAACTTGATCAACAACCTCTTTTGCGAATCCAATGTTGCCTAGCCCAGTACATGCAATCAGTCCGGCGAAAGCTCGGTTGATCTCGAGACGCTGCTCTTCCTCAAACGCTGCACACCCAATCAAAAAGAGGGGTAGGAGAACATTGCTTTGAACCCAACCCTCTGCGGGTAGTTCGTTAATGTATCGGATACCGTCATCGACAGCGCTCTTGATAAAGGGGTGAGGCTTCGAATCTTTGGTTGTGCGATATAGATACACCCATGTCGCTTGGCGATACAGCATGGAGATTGTGTAGCGAGGGGATCCCGGTGTATGGGGGCACACCCATCCACGCAGACCAGTGTCGATGGCATGTGCTGAGAGCAGAGCTTCATAGTCCATAATGGGCTCAAGCTTCTCATCGATACGGGCACGAATCTTCCGTCGCAGGTTGCTAATCTTGGAGATGAAGCCAAACAGACCGTCCGATACGCCGATGAGCCCCGCTGTTTCCGGGCTGATCTTGAAGGGCAGGTTGAAGTCATCCATCATCGGTACCTCGGCGCCGTCAAGGGATGTGATCTGGCTAGCGATCCAGTGGTAGTAGAAGAACTCGTCGAAGAGCGTCTGGAATTCTGGGTTGGAGGACTTCTGGTTCATCGCAATCTGCTTTGCAGCAATCATGTGCATCCGGTATTCGCCCGATGTGTTGCCGTCGCATATCGAATGTAGTAGGTGAAGAAGGATCTGTGCCACATTAGAGTCTTCATAGACCATGACCCCGCCTTCGCCGGCCTTTTGCCGTTCGAGATCGTGCTTGAGAAGCTGCAGAGCTTTGCCTCGATGGAAAGCCTGCCTGTCTTCGTACTCCTGCAATGGGTTGACAGAGTACATGTGAGAGGCCGATAGACATAGTACTGAGTGCATCAAGCCTTCGTGCTGGAGGGCCATGGGCAGCAAGATCTTGGTAAAAGGGTTTGTCGACTTGTCGCCGTGCAAGGTGAGTACAGCGCTGGCCCTGCTGACAAAATGCTGGAGGAGATTGCGATCGAGATCGTTCTCAACGCCCTCCATCAGAGGCGGCAGCTCAAACTTGACATCTTGACTTCGCTTCCGGGCTGTTGCAGTGTTAGCCTGGCCCACTCCTAAAAAAGCAAAGGGGGTGAGATGGAACTACAAACCTTCTGCGGCGCGCTCCTTGCCGCTCTTCCAAATCTCGACAGGCTTGTAGCCTTCGCAATGAATGTTGTTCTTTTGACATGACAAGCCTAATCATTGTTAGCATACATCTGGTAGGGATGGGGTTGGAGTGCGAGTACAGAATGGCTTGGTCTCGTCACACTTCTTCTTTCGCTTCCGGCATGTCGTGCAGCCAGTCTTTGATCGAGCTTTGGCTTGCTTGGCAAGGGTCGTTGGTGAGCGAGGAGGGTGTATCCTTGGTCGACCACGGGCTCGTCTTATCCGGACTGGTTCCGTTGGGGAGATGGGTGCGTCTTCCGGAGATGGCTCTTCCTTGACATCGGCCAGTTGCAGTTCCGTCTCTTCCACTTTTGGCACTACCTCAAGGGATCCTGTTCGTACGTCTGACCTCTCTTCTGATGTTGTATCTGGGATGGTGAATACGTTTGAATCGTAACTGGGAGTGGTAAATGGGGAGTCGCTAGCGGAAGACATGGAGGGCTGTGGCGATGAGCTCGTGCTCATCCGGGTGTGCGCGCCTGGCGGCGAAGGGCCGAAGGAATTGGTTGAGATCATTCGGTCCAAGAGTCGGAGACGTTTGGGAGACTACTGGTAGGAGGAAGCATGCATTGGAAGTGTGGTTGTTTCTACGCGTGGATGGTTACGCAAAGTAAGAGACGCTGGCTGGCTGGCAGGCTGGGGGAGGGGGAAGTGCGTGCGTGTGGATGCGGCACGGCGCAATGCAGGAAAGCAGCCACCAGGAGTTATCTTGTGTTACCGCCGGTCAATGCTGGCTCGCAAAAGCACAGGGTAGTTGTGGAACGGTGCGGCAACTGCTGGAGCGGAAGATGGGCAGCGTGTCGTAGGAGGGTCCAAGCGGTCCGCTTCTGATGCCTCGAGCGATCGCACGGTAGGTTGCGTGAGAGCGGGGGGAATGCGTCTTTAGCGAGTCGTGGGCGCCGCGGAACATCCAATAAGGTTGGGGAGGAACTAACGGTAAAAGAGCGTCGTTCCGAGATGAACGGCTGAGCTGAACACAGGCCAGGACAGGCAGGGATGGGGGGCAAAGCCAGTTCACTGGGAGATGTTTCGATGTCAATGTCGATTTTGATGGTTGGAAGGGCCGAAGTAAGAGATGAGTCGCGGGAGGGTGCGGAGGTGCGATAAAAGGCGTGGCGATGGTGTGTGCTCGAACGGGTGGGATATGTCGACTAGGTATTAGAGTGCAGGGCCGGACAGCTCGAGCCTGGCAACGCAGCAACGCAACGCAGCAAGGCAGGGTAGGCAGGCGAGAGGATATAGTGTGTGTTAAAGTAGCGTCGCAGCAGCAGGACCAAGTCGCTTCCAAAATGGTTAATGGAGGATAATCCCAGAAGTAATCCACCAGTCCCGCTGTATCCATGACCCTGGGCCGCTATCAACTTAAAGCAGAGACTCGACCGATGCTCGCAGTCCAGCACCGGGCAGGCAAAGGACAGTGTTGAGCACAGCTGGCAATTGTATTGGAAAGCCGCAGCTGACTTGCCCGTCCATCCCGCTGGCGCGAACGCTACATTGTCTGGAGTTTTTGCAAAACCTGATGAAGCATTGAAACGTGATGTTGCTAGTCTGTGTATCGAATGGTGCATGAATCGCTTTGGAGCGGCTTCATCTCATCGCTTGTCTGCTAGCCACCTCGCCCTCCTCGTTGGCTGCACAAGCTTCCCAGCGTCGAAGCTGGTGACCCGGCAGTAGCAGGGGGCAGGCTGCAGGTCGTGGTGTGAACGCCTTAGTAGGCCCTGCACGCATCCGATACCCTTTTGATTGACCACTTGCTGACAGCCAAGCTCGGCTGGCCATCCTTTCGGCACCCTTCTTGATCTGCTGCTGATTGTCACCACTCAGACACGATGAATTCACCACCAGGCACTGGAACGGCTAGCAACTGCGCGCGGCACTTGGGAGTGGTAAGGCGCCCTTTGTCGATTATCTGCCCCACTTTGCAGACGCCCAGCATATCGTGCTACATCTCCGCGATGCTTTGCGTGTGTGACCTGACGACGCTACTTCTCCACACTTGTGCTCCGGTCGAATCGGACACGCTGCTGCGGCTCTAGAGCGTTCTTGTGTGGCAGGACCAAAGGCGATCATAACACGCCGATAATCGACCAGGCTGTGTTGAGTGTTTCCAGCAGCAAGCCACATGTCAGGGATGGCGAGGCCTAAGGGATCCTCACGTCGACAGCCGTCCTGGCTGGTAGGCTCGCAAAGTAACGGCCAGCCAAAGTCTGTTCGAGATGTCATAAGCTCGCATGCACAGTCCCCGCAATCACGACGCGTGTAAGCGAGTAGCAATCACAATCGGCCTACAATCAATCTAGCGCTGCTTCGGGCTTAACTGACGAGTTTTCATGTGTGCGTCTACCTGCGTGGCGAGTACACTGCCGACGATCTAGGATAGTCTTCTTTTTCTTTTCTTTTTTTAAATCTTGGAGTATGCAGTGTTTTTGCACGAGGCGATTCCCTGCGTGTTGAGGATCTGGTTACTTTGCGGCCGGAGCGGGACGACGGGCACAAAGGGGGCACGCTCCCAGCGCTGGCTCCTGGCGTGTTTCCGCAGTACCCTGACCTGCCTTCGGTCCCAGCCGAACGCTATGACGGGGTCGACAGAAGAAAGATAATTGCCACGCTCGTCTGTGAGTTTAGTGCAGAGCGCATGTACGGACATAGTGTGCATCTACGTCCGTATGTACATATGTAGCATGCTAGGCACATCTTGTCCTTGGACACACTTCCTAATCGAGATGTGACTTGGGCAGCATATACTGTGGCGTTTTTCTCCAGCGACGGCGGTAGCTTTTTTTGGTAGTGCAGCTTGCCGCCAACTCTTGTTGGCGAATCAAGCAGTTGAAGCCATTCAGCCAGCACGAGTCGGTAGAGAAGTATCATGTTTCGGTTCGGCCGTCTCATGGTGATGTGGAGCTAGGCGGCCCACACCTGCTTCGATGTTGCCGTTTCCAATTTACTACAATGAGCTTGTTTTGGACCGCAATGTCCGCAGCTGACGAGTGTCATGACGCATCACACCCTCGGGGCCAGGTCTGGTGGCTGGTCGAGGAGGATGGGATGAGGGTGAGTTGGAGAAGGGGTCAGATCCGGTGTCCCTGCGTGTGATGGCGGCATTCTCCTCCAAGGTGGGTGGTAGATATTAGCCCGTTTTTGTGTTTTGAAAAGAAACGGGCGCATGCAGCCGAGAGGAGACACGGCGAATGACTTGCAGCAACTAGTGGTGGGGATTCGCTGCGGGGTCACTTGGGATCGCCATGGCGTTCCATTCGCTAGCAAGGTCGTCGACGCCGCCGATAGCTGCAGACGGCAGCTGCATGTGCAGCAATTGTTGAGCGAGGTTCGAGAGACTTCTGGGGCCGAGTGGGCACGACTAGGAACTAGCATCGCCGTGCCAGGGAGAACCATGATGGTTCTTGACACCTGTCATGACGTCTTCTGCGACGGTTGCGTTGGCATATTCTCAATCAGGAGAGACTCAGACGAGGTGGGCGGGATACGGGTCGTCGGATGGGCAATACGAAAGCTGCATGTCTGCGGCGGGTTGGCATGTCCAACATGCCGGCTTCGATCCGAAGTTCCGCCTAGAGTGCAGTGCGACCAGAGTGAAAGCCTTGTGTGTGCAGTCAGCCCTCTGCAAGCACTACGCTTCATTCACAGCCACAGCTCGACGACGACTCGTACTCCTCAATCCCGTCCAATCCCCGCCGTCGCCCGTCGTGGGTGAAACGCATGGTATCCCGGCATTTCCAGCAGATGCGTGTGCGGGCGGATGATCGACTGGCATTTTGACTTTATTCGCTCCGAGCAGACCGTCATTACTAGAGAGAAACATGGTCTTTGACAGTGGTATTCTTCTCCACACAAGGAACCCGAGATGCAGTCATGACTCTTGCACTTGCAACCAAGCGGCTCTATCCGTGGAAGCTCGTCGCCGGCGCAATCAGGAAGCGCCGAATGAGATACGCTGCAGCCAATTGCATTAGTTGGCTTCGATTCCATTGTCTTGATTTTTTACATGTCTGACGCCTCTTGCAAGCCATGCTGTTGCATCTTGTACTGTAATTTCTATTTGTTTCCGCAAATGCAATGCCATATCTGTTGATATTAGTCGAGCCGTTGCCAAATGCCGTGCAACCAGCGCCATGGCTTTGAAGCTGTGCAACCAACCCTCTTGGACGGACGACTTGCGTATTCGGGCGGCGGATAAACCTTTCGCCGGGCTCAGTCGCGCTCTGACGCGTTGCGGGCATTCCTCACCGATTGCCACATACAGATTCATCAAGGAACAGTGTCGACTCGTGAATCCAGCCCAAGCCCTACTACTATGCGCTTGGAGACTAAGCGTCGCCTATACTCAAACTATTAGCGACGTTCGACATGTTTAATTTCACTCCCCTGCTGGGCGCGCAAAGCTCGTCGCCAGCATCACAGTCATTACTAGAGTTCGACGGTGGCATTCAGATCCTCATAGATGTTGGCTGGGACGAGGACTTTAGCGTAGAGCAGCTGAAGGAAATCGAGAGGTAGGTTTCTGAGCGCATGGTCCAATCAGTGCAGATAGTGTTTATGCCTCCCGAATCGAGCTGCACATGCGCCTGGGGGACTGCACCGTAGAGATATACACGATATACATACAAGTCGACTAACCCCGATGCTCCAGACATGTTCCCACACTCTCCTTCATCCTTCTCACCCACGCGACCACTGCTCATCTCGGCGCCTACGTACATTGCTGTAAGAACTTCCCTTTGTTCACGCGAATACCCGTCTACGCCACAAATCCCGTCATATCACTCGGTCGGACGCTCCTGCAGGACCTCTACGAATCGACGCCTCTTGCTTCGTCAATCATCCCCACTGAAGCCCTCAATGAGTCGGCATACTCTTTCTCTTCGGCACTCAAGGGCGGAAAAAACCCCAACATCCTTCTCCAGGCGCCGACTGCTCAAGAGATTGCCGATTACTTTGCCAGGATCAATCCATTGCGATACTCGCAGCCACATCAGCCCATTCCGTCACCTCACTCACCGCCACTGAACGGTCTTACCATCACTGCATACAGCGCTGGACATACACTGGGAGGTTCAATATGGCATATCCAACATGGCATGGAGTCTGTCGTATATGCCGTCGACTGGAACCAGGCGAGAGAGCATGTTCTCTCCGGAGCTGCATGGCTCGGAGGTCCTGGCACTGGTGGCTCCGAGGTTTTGGAACAGCTGCGTCGTCCAACTGCTTTGATCTGCAGTAGTAGGAATACCGACATGGTCAAAGTCGCTAAACCACCAAGCAAACGAGACGAAGCGTTGATCGAAATGATACGAGATACAGTGGCCAATGGTGGAACTGTCTTGATCCCATCAGACTCTAGTGCCCGTGTTCTTGAGCTTGCATATCTTCTCGAAGAGACCTGGCACCGCGAAACAGCAGAGGGTGGTAACAGTCCTCTAACTAATGCAAAGATATATCTTGCGAGCCGGACAGCAGGTGCAACAATGCGTTATGTACGGAGTATGTTGGAGTGGATGGAAGAAGGCATTGTCAAAGAATTCGAAGCAAGCGCAGCAGATCAGGATCGGAGGAATAAAGGCGGAAAGGATGAGGACAGGGCCAAGATTCCATTTGATTTCAGGCACATCACACTACTGGAGCGCAAGACACGCGTAGCTCGTATGCTTGCTGCTGATGGGCCGCGCGTGATTCTGGCAAGCGACACCACACTCGAATGGGGATTCTCCAAAGACGCCCTCCGAAGTTTGGCCTCTGATGAGAAGAATCTCGTTATCCTTACTGAAAGATCAGGTGAATTGGGCGCGCAGAGAAAGGGGCTAGGCAGATATCTCTGGGACCTGTGGAATCAGCGTAACACATCACCGGGACAAGATGCACCTTCTACCACCGTGATCAATGCTTCAGGTGATCAGATCCCATGGAAGACTGTACGAGCGGCCGCATTAGAGGGTGATGAGGTCCCACTTTATCAGCAATTTCTGGCTAGTCAAAGGCAGCGACAAACTACAATGGGTGGAGACAACGCAGCTTTGCTCGAAACATCCGCGGACGTGGTGGACGATCGATCATCGACTGAATCAGAAAGCTCAGAGGGCTCTGGGGATGGGTATCGAGGAAAAGCCTTGAATGCGACTGTTGCTTTGCAACATGCACGCAACAAGCTCGGTATGACAGATGCTGAGCTCGGCGTTAATGTACTTGTCCGCCGTAAAAATGTCTACGACTACGAAGTGCAGGGTAAGAAAGGTAAAGAGAGAATGTTTCCGTTTCAGGCGAAGAAGCGTCGGACGGATGACTTTGGCGACCTCATCCGGCCAGAAGACTTTGCGCGTGCCGAAGAGGAGGACAACACAGCCGGGGAGGCACTTCGTGGCGAGGATGCAAAGAAGGAAAATGCTGTTGGTCAAAAGAGGAGATGGGATGACCTAGCCAACAACGTTGACAATGTCAAGGCAACTGCGCAACAAAAGCGGCGGAAAGAAAGGGAAGGCCGGGAGGGCGAGGACGAAGAGTCGGATAGCGAGCTAGAGGAAGACCCCGACAAAGTGGAAGGTCCTTCAAAGGTCATCATCGAGTCTGAAGCGCTCCAGATCCAGTGTCGGATAGCTTTTGTCGATTTCTCGGGTCTACACGACCGCCGCACGATCCAGCAGCTGATTCCCCTGATCAAACCGCGAAAGTTGATTTTTGTTGGCGGAGAGCAAGGCGAAACCCTTGAACTTGCAGAAATCAGCCGCATAGCGCTAAATGCCAACACTGATTCCGCCAGCGCCATCAGCGTCTTCACACCCACTGTGGGCATGGTAATTGACGCCAGTGTTGACACTAATGCATGGAGTGTCAAGCTCAGTCGAAATATGGTGCGCAACCTACGTTGGCAGAATGTCCGTGGCATGGGCGTCGTGGCCATCACGGGCCGTCTTGCAGCTGCAAGCCTGGAACCCGAAGTGAAGGAAGAAGTCGACACACCTGCGAAGAAGAAGGCCCGTGTCGATGCTCCCGCTATCCCCGTCTCGAGCGATAACAATAACGACACGCCTGTCCTCGACGTTGTCCCTGCCAACATGGCGACGGCAGTTCGTTCCGTCGCTCAACCCTTCCATGTGGGCGACCTGCGTCTTGCTGATCTCAGAAAGCTCATGAATGCAAATGGTATGCAAGCCGAGTTCCGCGGCGAGGGTATATTGGTTGTCAATGGCACTGTAGCGGTCAGGAAGACGGCCACGGGTCAAATTGAGATTGACGGTGGCGCATATGGAAATTTCGATCCAAGGACCAACGATGCGGCGACATTTTCGCGGGTTAGGAGGCAGATTTACGAAGGCTTGGCCGTGGTTGCTGGGGGGTGAGGATGATGGAGGGGGGCTATGGGGGGGTGAATGGTCTGCAAGGAGTTTTGTTAAATGGGGACAATGTAAGAAGGTTCAGCAGACATATTTTTTCTGTCTGAAGCTCAATACCATGAAACACAAAATCTCTTTACATGTTCTGAAATGTTTGGTGCCATCTTGTCATCTAGTAAAATAAAGATATCCAACTTGGCGAATCCTTTCCTCAAGTCTTTGCTAGTGACCAAAGCATCTCCGAATGCTGTGAGACCTTATCACTTGCTAAGTTACATAATCATCCCGATGCGTGCGAACGGAGCAGATGGAATGAGGGTGAAGTCTGTCGAACATTCTCGATGACGAGCTATGGCCCAAACGCGACATCCCACTTCAACCACCCCGCAATCCCAAACAAAGTCCAGCGTCAAGTCGCAACAACAAACACAGCACTGTAATACCCGACAGAGATATTTCCCATCATGGTGATCAACTACAGCAAGTGGGTAAGTGTAATGTGGTTCCCGTGTCGTTGCGACAACCTCTAACTCTCTGCAAAGGACGCCCTCGAGCTCTCCGACGACAGCGACATCGAAGTACACCCCAATGTCGACAAGAAATCGTTTATCCGCGCAAAACAAGCCCAGATTCACCAGGAGCGCGAACAGCGTCGCCATCAAATAAAAACACTGAAGTATGAGCGCATCATCAACGATGGCCTCACAGAACGCGTCGATCGACTCCTCACCACGCTCAAGTCGCACAAGGACAAGCAGGCCGAGGGCAGCGGCGCGAGCGATGATCAGCTTGTATTCCAAGCCATGATGGAGAGCATGATGGACATGAAGGCTGGCAAAGACGGCGGTGCAGACAGGCCGCCAACGCCCCCAGAGGGTGTGCATGAACATATAAAAGACAAGCCCACATACCCACAGATGATGGCGAGTCTGGTAGATGCGGTGAAGAAGGATATCGATGAGCAAAAGAGCGAGGAGCCTAGATATGACTTGTTTATCAAAGGTCTGGAGAAAGAGAAGGAGCGGATACAGGATCTACAGAGCCAATTGTTTGCAAAATTGGCAGAGTTAGAGAAGGAAGAGAAGAGGCACATCACCAGCGACGACTTACATGAGGGTTTCAACTACTCCAACGTCAAAAAAGCCGAAGAGGACAAGAAGAAAGCCTCCACTGCAGCATCGTCGTCAACAGGTGCTAAGAAAGAAACTACAATCGAACTGCTCAACACTCCTAAACGACCAGATGCCACACGGTCAGACACAGGTCAGTCTTCTGGTGCAGACGCAGACATAGAAGAAGGAACAGTTGCGGGTGCCACCGGAGACAACGAAGACGACATCACCGCGTCTCCCCTTGCACAATCATTTGCCAAGATCAAGGTGGGAGACTGGTACGCCTGTCTGCAATTCCTCATGCAACACCCTGAAATTCTTTCGGAAAAAGAAACAGACGGCCTTCTAGTCGAAGCGTTCAATGCCGAGCTCGACGGCAAACCCAAGCACGCCCGACAATGCGTACACCAAGGCCTGCTACTGCAGTACTGCCGCCAGCTCGGTGGAAGACAAGGTGTAGAGCTCTTCTTCAAGCGCATTCAAACAAAAGACCACCAAGCCGGCAAAATGTTCAACGACGACGTCGACTCGACATACCACCGCATCAAGACGCGCGCAGCCGAAATCCTCAAGGAGCGCGCCGAGAACCCTCAGGGCGAAGGCGCAGGCGTCGAACAGATCCAACTACATGCTGTGGATCCAAACACGCAAATCAACATTTCCGTCCCGCCCAAGGAACCCACAGCAACGGATCCCGAGGAACGAGAGGCGGAAGTTCAGGCGAGACAGATTTTCGAGTCGTTTCCACCGGGCTTGCAGCGCGCGCTTGAGAGCAGCAAGCTGGATGAGGTAAACAAAGTCCTTGCTAAAATGAGTGTGGATGAGGCAGAAGAGGTGGTGGAGAAGCTAGGGCAGGGCGGCATGTTGAGTCTGGAAGAGGGTGTGATTGATGCTACGACTGAGGAGGGCCAGCGCGTCATGAGTGAGATTGAGAAGAACCGTGCTATGCCTGGTGCGAAGGAGTGACGGGATAGTAATGTTGTTGTTCTTGTCCGGATCAGAAAAAGGCCGAAAATATGGTTTACGACGTGATGAGCTGTTCAAGGTAAGGTTAATTGTACATTATTCTTTATTTTTTGAATGCTTGACGCAGTTACTACTACTATCTATGAATACCAATGTTTTTATTCCAACACAAGAAAGAACGTCGAATAGTGAACGAAGAGAAAGAGGAAAAGAAAACATCGTGATTTAATGACATGACAAGAATACTACACAATCCACGTGTATGATGTATATAAGCATTGACGATTGGAAAACTCAATAATGGAAAACAAGCTCTTCATCCTTAATTGATACGTAACGTATCTCTCTCTCGATCAAACCCTTTAAATCAGCTCCGCGAAATTATCATCAATACCCGCCATATCCCTATCACCCGCAAAAGCCGCAAGTTCATCATCCGGCGCATTCCGGCTCATCTTTCTCTTCTTGTGCATATTCTCATACGCCTGGTGGCCGTACGTAGCACCGTCCGCACCGGGTCTAGCATGCTGAAGGCTCTTGAGCAGATCAGCAGCGACATGCTGGTTCGGGTCGCCCATTGTGGTAGCAAAGTCTGGTTGCGTGGTGTGGTGGCCAGGTGCGGGTGCGGTTTCAGGGACGACGGGGTGGGCGGCGGGTTCGGGCATGACGTCGTCGCCTATATCAGGGACGGGGTCGTTGCGGGGTGCTGGTTTCTGCTGGGGGGAGCCGGTGGGGGTGAAGGATTCCATAGGTGGGGGAGTGAGCTCTTCGACTTCGGGGCGGCCTTGGCCGGTGGGGAAAGTTGCGGTTGCGGGTGAAGTTGCGGCGACGGGGAGCGGTGCAGTGGAGATCTTGTTCTGCTCTGCTGCTGACAAGCCCTTGAGGATAGCCTCCTCGACCTCGCGCTTGCGGCTTTCAATGGCCTCCTTTCGGGTCTTTAGATCGGTTGCCTGCGCCTCCTCTTGCTCCAGTTTTGTCTTGTTCGTCTCAAGCAGCTGCTCCAGGCCAGTGATGAGGGCCTTGCGCGCTTTGATACTCTCTGCGACAGCGCCTTCGGCTAGTGCCAGCTTCTTGCAGAGCGCAGCGAGACCTGCTGCATGCATGGGTGGGGAGGGGATAGCAGCGTTGGGGTTGGTGAGTTTCTCATAGTCCTGGTTTGCGGTGGTAACAGCAGGCTTGGTCGCAAGATCGGCCTTTTGGAGAGCAGTTGCAAGAGGAGCGACCGAAGTGAGCTCAGGCGGAACGGTCGAACTGGAGAAGAGAGAGCCACCAAGAGCAGGCTTGCGCGTAGACTTTGTGCGATCGATTTCGTCAATAGACCTCTCGATGGCTTGTTGGACGGCTGGGTTGAAGATGGCTCGCTGTCGCCAGACCTCGACCACACGGCGGATCTTGTTTTGTATCTCGTGAGGCGAGCCCTTGTAGGCGACGGTTGTTGCTTCGGCGAGAATGGGCTCGTATGCTTTGAGAAACTCCTCCTTCTTGCGCATCTTGGACGTCTGGGTGATTTCGTTTGCGAGGTAGATTAGGACCAGCTTCTTATTTGGTGTCGACTCCTTCATGCGTTGGAGCCATACGGCAGCAATGCGCTCGGCATGTCGTCTGTAGATAGTCGTATTAGCTTCTAGTTTCCAATCTTGCAAATGCGACGAGTGCGCGCGCATGCGCGTGAGACGCGTTCAGAAGTGCAGCGAATGCCAAGTATGCGAAGCTTTACCTGTGAAAGAGAATCCATTGTCCAACCGTCGAGATGGCGTCTTGGGTCTCGTTGAGCGACGAGAGCTTTGCCTTGAGGCTGTCCTCGGTAAAGGCCATGCTTAATGTCTTCACGAATAATAGTTGTAGCTACTGAAGAAAGAATCGCACGCGACCAGACCAACACGACACTCTCAAGACAGCGGAGACAGACTCTGTAAGAACTGGCGATAATTCTAGTTGATCAATTCGAGGCTTGCTAGAGCCTGCGACTACAGCGATGACGAGCGGATGATGGCAGAAGACAATGAATAAGGCCTGTCGAAGGTGATGGAGAGCTCGGGGACGCTAACAGCGATGCGGGCTAAACGAAGCTAGGCACTTGCCAAGCCTGCTCCTGGCTGGTGACGGTAGCCATACTCAACCACTAACAAGACACTTGGAAGCAAGCAATCGCCGCCAATCCCATCGCTACCGCCTCTCCCTACACCCACCACATACACCAAATTCACAATGGCCGACCGATTCCCTTCATTAGACGAGATTGACGCTGGTGAGTTCAGCCATTGAACCCCCGAAGCAGCTCCGCAACATAGTACTAAACATCTCCAGGCCAGACTGAGGCGCGCGGTGATTCAGCAGCCTTCGACCTCGTAGGCGACACTGCGGACGCCGACGACTTTCTCTCACGTGAACGCGCTCTCCTTGGCGACGACGCCGACCAGTTTGCTTCAGAAAACGACCGGACAGCCACCGTCGAGGATGGAGACGACGACCTCTTGGGCGGGGGCTTCAGCCAGGCCCAGGCTGGTGGTGAGGAAATGAGCGGCTTCGAGAGCTCCTTCCCTGCTATTGACACTACCAATGAGGTATGCAATGCGCTGCGTCTTTGGTTGTAACACGTGTTACAAGAGGATGTTTCCCTTTAGGCACCATACTGACTGCAGCAGCACATGGCCCCTGGGGGCACCATTACTGGTTCAAGCCTACCCTTCCTTCCTGGACAGCCAGCCCCATCATTCACTCCCCAGCGATCAGACTCCCCAGAGCCCGACGTCATTCGAGAGTGGCGCGAGCGCCGCGACCTCCAGATTCAGCACCGCGACGAAGTGGCCGAAGAGCGCAAGCAGAATACTATCAAGGAGGCCCAGCAAAATATTGACGATTTCTACGAGAACTACAACAACAAGAAGGAGAAAGAGATTGCCAAGACACGAAAAGAGGCAGAAGAGTTCCTTGCAAACCGAGACGACACCACCGCGGGTGGAACCAGCTGGGAGCGCATTGCAAAGTTGGTCGACTTGAGTGGAAAGGGCACAAAGGGCGGTGCGTCAGGCAGCGACAAGGCACGGTTCAGGGAGCTGCTCCTCAGCCTGAAGAAGGACGAGAAAGCACCTGGCGCAACCGGATATTAGGTGACGAAAACAGCTGGGTCGTGATATTTTCGGAGCTCAGGGTATGGTTTTGGAAAATGCGATCATTTCCGAGTGTAGCCAGGAGTTCATGGAGGGGCTGCCAATTATTTGCTACGGCTGTGTTAATATCTATTCTCATAGTTCTGACGAGTGCTTTTATGCTCGGCCGATACCAGCAAATGCAAGAGCGAGGTCTGTTCGACACAGTGGCTCTTGACCACACCTACACAAGTATTGCCTTCACTCTCCTCCGACTCTGTGATTGATGGGCGTGTCCAGGACTATCTGAGCAATTACGGCCCTTTAGACATGCTCATGCACATGTCAAGCGCCATAACCACTTACTTCGGAACAAGAGCGCCCAACAAAGTGCACTGACGTCATCCCAAAGTAGAAGCAGCGACCTAAATTCACAAGAGCATAAACACAAAGTCATGTTGTATCACCTGATACTAGTTGAGTTAACCACTTCTAGGCCCTCGTGATGCCAAATCCCATTTGGCTTCCCACCGTTAGAGCCAAGGCCTCGCCTAGTGCACTGCAATCTAAACGTTTACGCTTCCGTCACTCCCCTTCCTCCACGTCCCCGGGCCGCATTCCAACCTAGCTGCAGAAAAGGCTGATAGTAGTATCGAAGGCAACCTCGCCGTTACCGTGACACGCGAAACCTGGACCGGCAACCCGGCTAGGTGCTATATGAAAGCTTTATTAATTTCTCCGATGGTGCAGGATTCCCGCCAACCCCCAGCCCCCTAGCCGACATCACGTGTGAACGTTTCAATCCGAGACGACGAGTCCGAATCGAAAGGCGTATTACCACCAATCATGGCGATAAATAAGAATATGTCTTGTGACTATCAGTACAGGATTCCAGAGACATCCGCTTTGGAGCCTTGTTAACTGTGCATCCACGTTCGACTGTATTGGCTCTGTTTGCGAAGGGCTGTTTCACTGGTAAACCCGACAACTACTGCCAAATGACGTCTGTCCAGGATGCCGGCCCTTTCACAAAAAAGGAAGGATACCTTTATCTCGCTTAAACTCTCCAGAATGCTTTGACCGGGGATAACGGCTTCTCCAAACACTTTACATGGACCCAAAACAGGCAAGGTGTGCATGTTACTCGACATCACGGTGACCTTTTAGCGCGCCAAGTTTTTAATCTACATGTTTTCTCTCCACCCCCTTCTCCCCCCTTCCTTGGTCTCGATGCACCAATGCATGAACCGAGGGGCGTGGGGAGTCTCTCGGAAACATTTGCAATAGTGCTTGTTGTGGTTGTTTGCATGGCGAGCTATCGACTTTTGTGTCGTGGAGGAATTACGCACCGAGGTTGGTGTGGTGGTGCTACTATAAGAGCTTTCACTGCCGTGTGTGTATCAATTTATCTCGGCATCGAGGTTGGTTGTGTACCGAACCAGACTTCTATCTTTTCGAAGTAGCTTATATAGAATCCTCTTGTCTCGGCCTTTTCTCCTTTCACTGCACTCCATCTCCTTCCTTCTTCAACTAGATTCTGAAACAAAGGAAGAACAACAAAGATGAAATACCTCGTCCCCACCCTCGCCTTCGCTGCCACAGCTGCAGCCCATGGCTACGTCTCCAACGCCACCATCGGCGGCAAAGACTACACCTTCTACCAGCCCTACCAAGACCCCTACACCACCGGCGTCAAACGCATCTCGCGCCCCATCCAGGGCAACGGTCCCGTCGAAGACGTCACGCTTTCCGACCTGCAATGCGGTGGCTACACTGCTGGCGGCTTCAAGGGATCCTCCCCCGCCGCCCTACACGCTGAGGCTGCTGCAGGCTCCGAAGTCAAGCTTTACTGGACGCTGTGGCCTGAGAGCCATGTTGGGCCTTCGATTACATACATGGCAAGGTGTCCCGATACGGGGTGTGATGCGTATATGCCGGAATCCAAGTACGTTTTCCCCCTTTTTTTTTCTCCGCCGTTGTTACATATGTACCAAGCGGATACGGCTGCTAACGCAGCGCTACAGTGCCGTCTGGTTCAAGGTCCAAGAAGAAGGACGCCAAGGCACATCTAACAAGTGGGCTTCCGATGCTATTCGCGTTGCGGGCGGATACCTTTCGTATACCATTCCCAAGTGCATTCCTGCGGGGTATTATCTTGTGAGGCATGAGGTGCTGGCGCTGCACTCTGCGTACAAGTATCCTGGCGCGCAGTTTTATCCGGGGTGCCATCAGCTTAAGGTTACTGGGGGTGGCAGCACGAAGCCGTCTGGTTTGGTGAGTTTTCCCGGGGCGTACAAGGGAACGGATGCGGGTATTGCGTATAATGCTTATACTGGTATGTTTAATTTCCTTAAGTTCGTTTTGGTGGGGAGAGTTGCTAAAATGTGTGCAGCGCAAACTTATCCTATTCCTGGACCGAAGCTATTTACCTGCTAGATGGTAGGGGAGAAAAGGGGGCGGTGAGGTTGTGGGGTGAGAGGAGAAGTGTATATAGAATGAGAGGTTGGCTGTAGATAGTTTTGCTTCTGTATATACTTTGGGGTTGTTAGAATGGATAGACGTGACGCTTTTTGACTGCTTACCTAGTTTGCTCTGTTCATCATAGTCATATCATGTATGCAATCGTGTCTATCGAGTTAGCACGCAGAGACATTGTGCACCCAGCATTCTCCTCCCACTGCTACTGTGTGTTTGTCTTCTTTCCCGCCTCTCGCGCATTATGCGCAGTTAACAATCATGCAAGTCCACCTCCTTCTTTCCACCCCTCAAACAGACCCTGATTCCTCGCTCACCCCACCCTTGTTTGGTGGATACTGTACAGATCATCTGACAGTTGCTCTACACATGAAAGTGGGCTATCCACGAAGCAGGGGTTATCCATAAAACGGGCTCTCCACGAAGTGGATTGTAGAAGAGGTGTGTGGTTTGAGAAGTGGGTTGCTCCAAGGCGCCTATGTAGTGTGCCTCACAAAGTGGATACAGAAGAAGTGGGGGAAGAAGTACAAAGAGTCACAAGAGACTTTCCCCTCGATACACGCATCCGGCATATACCATCCACGTAGCAGACAAGGATAGGTCGCCCTGCATTTTTGGGTGACGACTCCACTTCAAAGCTGTGTGTGGAGAGGGTTGTGATGGGGATGGGAATGTAGGAGTGGTGACTGCGTGTTTCCGCTCTATGTTTCTTCTTTTCCGGTCTGCGTTGATAGGATGGTAATGACTGTCCAGCTGCATTTCAACAAATCCCATACAACCTGCATAATACAATGCATCTTTTTTGAGAAACAGCGTTTGCAAAAAGAGACGTGTCTGTGTGTTCCCTCGTCTTACTGGACACTACCATCAACATAAGCATGATAAGCATCGGTCCTTTTTTTCCTGCCTTTAACGTATTTTCCTTGTTATGCAAACTTAAGAACCCGGAAAATATAGAAAATGTAGATCATGATCTTCAGTCGGAGGTCCGGTCGTTACAGTCATTTCGCTTCACTCTCATCAATTTCTGTGACTGAAGGGAAACTTTTTCTGTATGGAGGTCCGTTTGTCACAATTCTTTTGCTCCTGTCTTCTCAATGCATCAATCCCTGTATTACTAGCTGCTCTATGACATGAGATCTCTGCTTTTCGACTCTGACCCCGCAGGCTCTGTAGACGGGGTTGTTGACTTGTAGGTGAGAGCCTGGATAGTAACATAGAAACTCGGAGGAAACTGACCCATAGGCTCTTTTATTGATTATTTCGGCCACTTGGGTGGCTGGTGAGTGTGTGATGAGTTGAGCACATTGCATGTTGACATGGTACTAGCAGTAAGCTACAACGAATGGAAACGGGGGCTTCGTTGCCGTAGATTTACCGGACTACGACATACATGGAGCTTTTTGTGCTATCTGAAAAGGCATGCGGAACCGACGCCGCTTTCCGGTCACCCTGGGCCTAATCAAGAAATGTTGCATATGCTAGTCGGAGAGTCGAGTGGTAAAGGGCAAAAGGTGTCGCAGGTCCGCCATTGGGCAGCGCGCTACAGAATGCCACGCTGATCGTCGGCCCTAGCGGACGGGTCCGCACATGGTTTCGGCGGCTTTTTTTGAAACGGCCGAGTGCCTGAGGTATCTTCTGGAAGATGAAGCTCAGATAGGTTCGCTAAAGTGCATGGCGAGTCAGGATTGTCGCGGGCAGGCCGTGTACTTAGGAGTAGTTTGAGGGGCATTCAATGCTGCGGTACTCCCCTTTCTCTATCTCACCGTGACACCGACACGACTGAGAGGAAAGACCAGCCAGAATAGACTAGGTATTTGGCGTCATAGTATCAAAAAAGTCGCGGTCAAGATGATGTGAAGGCAAGGACGCTACTGACGAAGCTACTGAGCTCTTAGCATGCGATGATGCCCACAGTGGGGCGACCGAAATTCGCCTCTTTCTTCCCTAACTCGCATCTGCGCGAGCCAGTACCAAACACTGGCGGAGATTTACATACCGGATTGGGAGTTAGGATAGCTCTTGGGGACTTCGACCCTTGAATTGTCTTTATCCGAGGAACTACTCGGAGCATGTCAATGTCATGGGTGCAGCATCAAGCTCCCGTGATATCCGTTTACAGTCTGACAAACGTCTTAGGTGGTGCTGGGTACGTACTCCGGGTCAAGCCAACTTACTCGAACAGGGCGGCCGTGTGGCAGTGTGCAATTTCTCGGATGCATGGCTGGACAGCCCTCCCACCGCTCTTTCGGCTGCTGCCAGCAGCAACGAGGGGCATCGAAGGCATCACGGCATCGACGACATGGGCGATGCTTGATCAGGTGGACATGTGCATACTGGCTAGGCGGCGCTTCGGAGAATCGCTCACCGTAATACAGGCTTCAGAAGCGGCGAGGGCGCGCTACTACTGCCACTGAGGCCTGGAAGAGATGGGCTATTCTTACCGCGACAGTGCTGTGGCGCTCCTTAGGGCAGCACAGTGGCTACGCTTTTTGCTCTTTTGGTGACGTGGGACAGGCTCAGGACCGGCGCAATGGTAAGCAACAAGCAAAGTCCGGTACATGGTCCTTCACGCGGGCCACACGCACGTGTGTGCCCCATTGCGGGCATCCATCGCTTACGCTACTCGACCGGGAAATTCCACACTGGGCTGCAGCAGTTTCTGGGATGATCTGACCATGGCCATGACAAGAGGGGAATGTTGCTGTATGTACGCATAGAGAGTACTGCGTACGTACGTGGTGTGTAGCAGGGCGTTTCCTGCAGGCTCTCTGACACAATCTCACTCCACCATTACATTGCAGAGTATGTAAGGCCCATGGATAGTAGCCCCGCATCTGGGCGGGATATGCACGCAGACGCAGAGCAGCCAGAATTTCTGATATCATACATACCCGTCAACAAGCGCCTCGTCCTCGGCCATGATGGACACTCGCATCAGAAATAGCCGCCGCGGCCAATGGGCCTCGAGGGCCTCACCGCCTGGACTGAAGTTTTGCCACGAACTGTCAGGGGGAACCGGTTGCAGGCAGGCCGTGGTCGCGCCCTCGAGTCGTACCGCTTCCAGAGCCTCGCCCAAAGGCAAGCCGCATCTTCCTTTGCATTCGTCATAGCTTCTGATGACGGTGTTGGAGTGCGGCAAGTTCTTGGCCGAAGCCCTCGAGTAACTAAGCAAGCGCACCCGAATACGCGACGACAGAAGCCTGAGGTGTCGTGTCGTGTCGTGTCGTGTCGTATTATGCCGTTCAGGGACAGGCACAATGGACACGACAGCAGTTGACTCACCATCAGAGCCCCCATGAAACAGTGGCTTGCTGCGAGCAATTGGGTCTCATGCAGCTTCAAGAACAAAGACATGCTTCGATCGCTCGTTTCCTTCCGAGATGGATGGTAGATTATTCCCAGGGCTGAAGCAGACCCTGGTCGCTCAAAATGCAAGGTAAGGTAGGTAAACGGCCCGCCACTCTGGGTCGCCGAAGCGGGCAGCATTTTGCTGAGCACGCTCCTCTTTTCAAACGTCCGGCACCAGTCTTGGTACCCTGCGCAAATGACAGTACCGCAAATCCACGGTTGCTTCGCTGCGACTAGTATCCGCCGGCCCCTAGCAAGAGAGTGAGAAAATAAAGAGACTAACCCACATGGAGAAAGACAAGGCTGATTGACAATGTCCCATTTGTGCTCCTGATCGGCCCACTTTCTTACTTGCCTTTTTCCATGTTCACGCCCTTCTCAAGCAAGCAAGCAATTCTGCAGCACACTCGGCGCGTGTCATCATGTACACGCATATGTACTAATTACAGGCCTAACAGTATGTAAGTCAGTTCTCGCATCATGATGCTACTGGATAGTCATGGCCTGTGACTGCCAGCAGGGTTGGGCCCTTTGGCAAGCTAGCCCACGATAAAACCCACTACTCGCCTCCCCGTCCCTACCTTCACCTCCCCGACCACCATATCCCTACCACGTGCAGCAGTACACTTTCTGGCGCCGGGGGCTGGTGTGGGTCTATGCCACTGCTGTCAATGTCCCTAGTGTGTCTCCGCCAGTGACCCACAAACGTCTTTTACACACTTCTAAATCCCTTCTACGCCTTCCGTCACTGAGCCACCCTTCTACCTCACTCTCTCACCAAAATCTCATGTTCAGTCGTTGATGTCTTATTGACCATGGGTAATCCAGAATTCGGAAACAGAGGACCAGGTGCACAGTCCGGGGACGGCAAGGCACTCCAACCGACAATTTCATCTCAATCCTCCAGGACAACAGACGCGAGCAAGAACAATCAACTCCCCACCATGGCGACCATTGCAGACGACGACGACCGTCTTCTTGTACGCATTGGATATGCTCCTGTAAGTATCATGTTGTCTGGTCTCAATTCAAACTCCAATCTCACACTGCCCGCAGGTACTCCAAAGACATTTCTCAAGATGGTCCACAGTCTCATATGCCATTTCCATTCTCGGAGTGCTAGGTTCAGTACCTGCTACCTTTGGAGCTCCGATGTCATCAGGAGGACCAGCAACAGCCGTCTGGGCCTGGTTCATCGGTAGCATCATGGCCTATTGCATAGCCAGCTCAGGTATTATACTCCAACTTATCTCTTCACCACTGAAGCTAACAACCCCCTCTCTAGTTGCCGAATTAGTCTCAGCATACCCCACAGCCGGAGGAATGTACTATGTCACAAAACACGTTGTGCCCCCCGAGCACGTCGCTGCCTGGTCGTGGATCATCGGATGGTGCAACTTCCTCGGTCAAGCCGCTGGTGTTGCCAGTTTGGCCTACACCATCTCACAAATGATCTTAGCGACAGCGGTCATGCACACTTTAGATGGTGCGGGGCCAACCTTTGAACCGTAAGAGTAACACACCATTCTAGGCGACACACAGTAGTAGCTCACCGATCAATGCAGGAAAGCTTACCAGACGGTGCTCCTTGCCATTTTTGTGCTCTGCATGTTTGGCGCCATCTGCTCGTTCCCCACGAATTGGCTGCACCGCATTATCCTGTGGTTCGCCCCGATTAATAGTACGTTCGCCTAACATGTGTCCGCGTTTATGGTGGTGGTCGTGGTATTGCGGGGCAAAAAATAGA